TGCATACTATTATGATATATATTGCTATATGGAAAGTAGATTTGTGATAAGTTTATTTTCAATGTTTTGAATATATATGATTGCATGAATAGAAGCATAATTATGACTTTGTACTATGTGAATATGCATTGTTTGTATTACATGTTATGTGATATAGACCTATGTGAAATAAGTTATATGGAAATGATCTACGTAACTATATGAAAATGTGACATGAGCTATGTGACAATGAGTTATGTGATTACATGCCTATATGATATAAGTTATGTGAACGGTTAAAAATGGTAAAGCCCATAAGTATGTATTATGAGAGCTAAAGGTATAATTGACATGTTAAGAGTCGAGGGTTCTACGCGGTCCTTCGGGACAATTCTACATGGTCCTTCGGGACATTTCTACTTTGTCCATCAGGACAATACTGTGTGGTCCTTCGGGACATTTCTATATGGCACTTTTGTGCATATTATACGCGGCACTTCGATGCAATTTATACGAGTTGTGGTGACAATATTTGTGCACATCCTCAATGCACTCACATACCTTAAGTTCTCAATGATATACCATGGGTTATAAAAAGAAATAACATGAATGAATAGTGCATGCTATTATATATGTCTTGTTTGATGAAATGCATAATAGTTTATGTACACTATGATGTTTATAGAAATTTAGTATATGGTTTCATGTTTAATGTTTCCTTTATGCATATATGTTGTAACATCCCAACCCGTATCCGACCCGGATACGATTCTGAAATGTCACATTGACATTTCAAAACCTTTATTCTTGCAAAATAATAGAACATTTGAACTTATATTAAGAAAATACGATCATATATTATTGAATTGTGTTTGTTATAAAACTTTGAGGTAAAAACATATTTATGAATAGTAAAATATGGTATGAATAGTACCATGAACGATAATGAACAGTACTGTGAACAATACCCTGCTACAGTACCCCGAATGTTAAAACTTTCCAGATTATAATAGGGAAATCGATTCCCCTGCTACAAGGAACTGATACCCTGCTACAGTACTTCCGAAAATACGTATAACTTCATAAAAACCTAAGTTTTCATCCGTATAAAATTACCATTTACATATACACATTTAAAACATTACAAAACTCAAATATATGAATTTACAAAACCGATTAAAACATATCAGATTCAAATCTTTGTTTGCATGCCAACCACTATAAGTATTACAAAATACATACTATTAACTTCTTTTTTGATATGATCTTTGGAAAGAAGAAATTGACCTGTCTTGCTTAACTTTTATCATTCTTCCTCTTCTTGGAACCTACGCGTGAAACAATCACACGCTAAGTCGTTGACTTAGTGAGGTATATAAAACATATAATAACACCATAAACATTTCATATAACAGAATGCATACATGCATATATACCATCATTATCATGATCTTGTACTTATCTTTTCTATGTACCATATAACATCATATAATTCCTGTGGAACATTTCATATCACCAAAAGCATATACATAACATATATTGAAGTGATTATTATCTCTTTATTAGCTCATGTACACAAAGAATTCAGTGTAAACAATAATATCAAATTATCATATAATAATGCAAATACTTTTGATATCTTTTATAGACCCATGTACACTGTTGAGAACTGAAGGTATATGAGTACATTGAGGTTGTGCACTAGTGTTGTCACCACAACTCGTATAAGTGCCACTGAGTGGCATATGAAATTTGTCCCGAAAGACCTATGTATTTGTCCCGAAGGACCACTGTATATGTCCCGAAGGACCGCGTAGACCCTCGACTCTTGGCATGCCAACTATACCTATAGCTCTTGTATTATATAACATGGGCATTATCATTTATACATTTCATATTACTTATTCTTTCTCTTCTGTCATATACCACATGTATGTGTAACTATATATCTCATATCATATCACATGTATCACAAGTGTATTTATTCACGTAGATAGTTTCATATGGCTTATATCATTTCTCATTTGTTCATGTAAACTCACATGTCATATCATGTAACATATATCTCATCAGATAACATGTATTTCTCAAGTATATTCACATGTTACATATACCTATTCTCAAATATCTAATTTCATACATATATCATTTATGCATACCTTTACTCATGAATTCATACATCATACATGCATTCACATAGATCACATATACATAGCTTATATCATATTTTGTTCACATATATTTCCCATATATACATCACCTAGCTCACTATCATATTTTCATATCATATATCTTATAATAGATTCTTATATCATCCTTGTTTTCTTTCTACCTATTCACAATCACACTAACATGTACTCACACCTATCATTTAACATATACACTCATCAAAATCATATAACATTTTAAGAGTCACTTCTTACCATAGTAACTCCGTCACTGGCTCATCGCAAGCCAATATTTTTCAATAGCATAAGTACAATTAAATTGCACTCACCTTAGCCTTTCTTTGATTCGATCCTAATTCTTTGATTGTTCCATAACTTGTTTATGCTTAATATCTACATAAATATAATTTTCAAAACAATTATCAGAAGCCTAAACCTTAAACTTGATGTTAATAACTTAAGCTAGTTTAATGAACCAAAATTTCATTTTTTCCATTAGCGGGGAATCAATACCCTCCCAGGGGGTATCTGTTCCCTCTGCGTAATCTGGAATTTTTCGTTCAAGCCCAGAATTTATTGTTCATGCACGAAAATTCACTATATCAACTTAAATTCTTCATATTTCATCCCCTTTCATATTCTTAATTCAAATATACATACTTAATTATCACATCTGAGGAAAGAAAGAGAACTCTGGAACAAATTTTTGCCTTCCTATCCTCTTCCACGTGGGTTAATATAAACCCATCCAAATTTTTTTAATTATTTTTCCTTGCAAATGGCCATTATCTCCTTTTACTCTTCCTTCATTTGCTAATTAATCCTACACCAACATCTTCCAATTACTTCCTTCACTTTTTCAATTTATTTAATTTGATCATTGAATTTAAAAATCTTACACTTAAATCACTAACCCGGTATTGAGGATGTTACATATGCCTTACTAAGTCAATGACTTAGCGCGTGAGTGTTTCACACGTAGGATCGAAGAAGAGAGAAGAGCAAGGATAAGAAGTCAAGACAACATATTTCTATCAAAGCTTATATTAGAAGCAATCTAAACAGTAGGATCATTTGTTGTATTAAATGTTGTTGGCATGTAATTAAAGTTTTAAACCACATTTACTCTGATCTTTTTTGTAAACATACACTACTATATTTATGTAAATTATTGAGTTTTAGTTTCAATATAAGTTAAATTCTGTTTATTTACTTATGATCAAAGGTTCCACCAATTTATTTCAAATGTATGTTTAAATTCAACTATCTTTTAAAAGTCAATGTTTTGAAAAGTCAATGTGGCACATCGGAGTCAATACGGGGTGGGAGTGTTACATTTAATAGTATCAGAGCTATGCTTTAGCCGATTCTAGGCATAAACCGAAGTCAAATATGTTTTAAAAAGGTATACATGCCAACAATATAGTGAAAATTTCTGATATGATAAGGTAATGAGTTTGTTGTCTTACTAATAGAGTTAAATGTTCTTAGCGAGGAACACAAGCTTCAATGAACAGCTCCAAGCATTGTAATTTTCATTTCATGTTAATTGATGAGAAACCAAAACAACGCCCGGAGTATCAGAAGGATGCAGGTATACACATGATTGAAATCAGTGACAGTTTCCATTGTCCAGGAAGAAGGAAAACAGAGAAGAAACGAAATTGGGCAAAAAAACAGAGAAATTGGGAACACAGTCGGGAGAGAATCTAATGATCAAAAGTCAAAGGCTAAAAAAAGAAACGGCCCAAGAAAACCACCTAAGGTGTATGATACCATGTTAAGAATAGAGCACATAAAAAATACCTCAGTTTCTCATTATTAAATGATATGTACAACACTAGATTTATAATAGAAAGAATAAATCAGCTGCTTAACTAACTAACTACAATCTGTTAAGATAACTACTTGGAACCAACTATTGTTACATTCTCTACAAAAATAATATTTTGAAATAATAATTCTTATCATTTATAATTAAGATAATTTTAATGATTTTTGAATTAAGTTTGTTTTGAATTAATTTATGATACAAACTCAATTAAAATTTAATAAATAGTATGGATTAAATCATTTTCCTCATTGATAATGGCTAGTGTGTATTGTAGTGCAAATATGAGATAGAACCGAAAAACACGAGGCCGCAAGTCAATCGTCGTGCCAATGAAAAGTTGATGCGAAGATTATTTAAAGTATTAGCCAATGGGAGTCGAATGAAAACATTATCCAGCCCTTAACTTTTTTCTTTAAAATGTGAACCATTTACCTATTCCTATATATTTGACATAAAACAAACCACTTGCTAGCTTAATATATAAAAATTTTATTAGCCACGGTTGAAAAAATTAGCTGATCGCAAACGTATATTCATGGTTTCGCTGCTTGGGCTCAGTAGATCCTTGTGCTTGTTTTACTTTGCTTTATAGATTTCAAATTTTGGATTTTGTTTTAATCTTAACCAAATATAGAAATCTTCACTCGCTGTATCTTTCCAAGGGTCCAACTTTTAACAGATTTGCTCTTTCCTGTGGCTGTGGACCATAAAACTAAACTCCTCGGCTCACACCAATATGACTATATAATGGTATAAATAATACTCCGTTAACTGTTTATTTTGTCTCTCCTTAAAGCCTCACAAGATCAGCAATATATCTTAATTTCTGGTATTTATCATGAGTTTTTCACCGTGTTAACTTGTGCATCAAGCCATCAACCGAGTCGCCACCTTACCTTTGTGTTGGGACAGTTGGGTCCTTCAGTCTCTATATTTATACCAACCTTATATCCACATTCTCCCATGCACAATCCTTATTTCAAAACCTTTGAGTTCAGGTCCCAATCTGCATTTTAGTACTATACTCATTTTTTGTTTCATTGCTGGTATGGCCTGGTACTCTGTGCCTTCCCTTCTCTGTCTCCCCTTTATGGCTCCAATTTTCTATCTGTTCCATGCTTTTTACCTGATTACCTCAAGCAATGCTCAGGGACCACCTTCCCCTGGATACTCGCCCAGCTCCAGGGTTAGTTCTGTGACCTTTAACCAAGGGTTTAGAAATCGATGGGGTCCTCAGCATCAGAGACTGGACCAGGGTTCACTCACAATCTGGCTTGATAAAAGCTCAGGTTTTTGCAGTAGTCACATCCCTTTGTTTTTTTTTCCTCTATTTCTTTTGCAACACAATGTTCTCAGATAATATGTGCTTATTCCTTTGCATTCATGGTGAAAACAGGAAGTGGTTTCAAGTCATTGCAGCCGTATCGGTCTGGTTACTTTGGTGCTGCCATGAAGCTCCAACCAGGTTATACAGCAGGAGTCATTACATCTTTCTATGTAAGATTAATATTAACAGACACAAATTGCTTACCTAAAAACTCCCGAGCTAATTTATTTTGATGTTCTGAAATTTTTTTGACAAATCGGCAGCTTTCAAACAATGAAGATCATCCAGGAAACCATGATGAAATCGATATTGAGTTCCTTGGAACAACACCAGATAAGCCCTACACTCTGCAGACTAATGTGTATATAAGAGGAAGTGGGGATAGAAATTTAATTGGGAGGGAAATGAGGTTTCATCTATGGTTTGATCCAACACGAGACTACCATAACTATGCAATTCTGTGGACCCTTAGTGAGATTATGTAAGTATACTACCTATGTTACGCATTGTATTATTATGGAAAGCGATGCGTTCATTTTGTAAGTTTCTATTACAGTAACCCACCGAGGCACTGACCACTTCCTTTAAAATTTTGAAATTGATTTCTGCAATTCGATTCTCCAAATCAACAGATTTTTCGTAGATGATGTGCCAATTAGGATGTACACGAAGAAGACTGACGCCACGTTTCCCACTAGACCTATGTGGGTATATGGATCAATATGGGATGCATCGTCTTGGGCCACCGAGAATGGAAGATACAAGGCTAACTATAGGTACCAGCCCTTTGTTGGTAAATATACAAACTTCAAACTCGGTGGTTGCACCACCAATGGCCCAGCCTCTTGCCGCCCGCCCTCTGCCTCTCCCTCTGGCTCCGGTAGCCTTAGTCAACAACAGGTGATGGCCATGAATTGGGTGCAAAGGAACTACATGGTGTATGACTATTGCCACGACCCTAAGAGGGATCATACTCAGACGCCTGAGTGCTAAATAAGACTACGATTGATTGTTAAAGATTTGCGAGTGATGGCCTTGAATTGGACCCGCTTGCATTAAATTAGATATCAGATACTTGTTTTTATATAAATTAAAACTCGATATTTGTAGAAAAAGGAGGAGGTTTTGAATTCCTATGCATTGATCATTCGTAACTAAAAATATACAAGAGGGAGAATCTGGAAAAAGTTGAAAGACCTGTTATAGAGTTGAAGATGATTAAATTAAATAAGACAATCAGTTTGATACATATCGATGGTTCTGTGAAACAGAAAACAGATGAAAGAATCAGGATTTTGCGGATATATGCTTTGGGCATTGATATAAATTGATATCGACAAAACTACATCACATAAGCGAATATAGTGTATGTGGGATTGTTGTATTCATGTTGGAAACTAAGCATATCAATTGAAGCTGAATCCAGCATGCCAGTCATTCATGACTGCTAGCAGCTGCCATAGATTATTTCTCCAGTAGGTCCTTGTGATGGAGTAGTAGATCATCGTTATTGGAATTTCCGTATTTTTTTTTCTTTTTTCAAAACGATGATGATGAACATCCAGCACCACAACCGACCTTAGCTCGGTAGAGCGGAGGACTGTAGTGGTTAAAATCATTCAGACGATCCTTAGGTCGCTGGTGTCGGAGTTTTTGCAAAAGATTCTTTCAAATCCAACATCTGCACGTGTCCACGTCGAAGTTTCATATTCTATACACTTACATACTGTGTACCTGATTAAAAGGTAGTTTCTATATTTATGGCCAAAAACCGGAGTCCAGATTTCACTTTAGTTGATCAAACATTTAGACAGAACAATACACGTAGAGAGAGAGAGAGACGAATATTGGCATTCTTCAATTGCCAACTAGGATTAGGGGTTCGGATGTTATAAGTATGTTGTCCACCACCAGAAGCACCTTACGTAGTGAAAATATCCAGAGGGAAGTGAAGCTTTGGAAGTTCATCATTCAACCCAATCCGATCGAAACACAGAGAAGCAATGGTACGGTGAAAGCAACCTGTAATAAGAGGAACCGGGGGTTGGCATCCTGCACCGGTTCTGTTTGTTTTATTCATACACTATCTCGTGACCACTGACTGACCCCATCTGCACTGCCCACCACCCCTTTTTTAAGCCACTCTGACAATTTTTGCTGCTCACTGCACCCCCATTTTATTTCTCTCTCTCACAAATTATGCTTTCTTCCACTTCATTTCCAACTTTCAAGCCATTTAACTTTGCAGTCCAATTCTCTTTTCCCACACCAAAAGCTAATTTTACAATCAATCAAAACCACTCCTGTTTTTCAAGTTATATACTCTCTTTTTTTCATTTGTAACCTTCACGGGATTTCAGCATCACAAACACTTGAAAGAAAAACATATGTACAAAATATTAAGTGAAAGCTCATACAGGTTTGTCTTGTCCTAAACCTTCTATTTCAGTGCGTCATTTACCAGAATGTTTTGTTTCTCTTCATTTACATTTATATTGGCCATGCATCTTATAATAGTTATATCAGTTACGGCAAAAAAAAACTCAAAAATCTCGAGCTTTTTATGTGGGTCCCACCCCCTAAAATAAATTCCATCCAGTCCACCTTTGATTAAATGACACCGGCGAACCAAGCCATCGCCACAGCCAGCTGTCCTCCATAATAAACATCACATCCACGTTGCCAAATTTACCTTCATAGCCGGCCACTCATCCGACGTGTTTTCCTCCTACTGGCTCGAAACCCTTGACTTTCTGTCGATCTGTGTCTAGGTTATTATAAAGTGAAATTAAAATCTGCCACGTGGCATCCCCTTCTTGCATGTTATCATTGAACAGTAGAGCATGCTTGACTGCCGGATCCCATAAGTTCCTCTGGATGGCAGACAAATTAGTCGCCGCGACGTGCTCTAGGATCTTCCCCAGCTTCCCAACGTCCCTTTCCGCCACCGTGAGGGAAATCTCCCCCCACTTCACGGCTTTGGGAAACGGCAATCTTATACCGTCCGCTATGATCACCGGGACGCAGCCCAAAGCCACAGACTCAACAAGCCTTGGACTCCATGGGGCCCAACCAAGTGGACACAAACAAAAGACAGACCGGACAATTTCTGACTGGTAACCGGCAAATCTGTGTCTTTGCAAGTAAAACCTCTTTTCTCCTTTATACCTTCGCCATATTTCCGTCCTCACCCTCCTAAAAGCAAAAGATAACAACATGAAAACATGAATAAACACGCAATTCCAACATACAATGAACTTTGATTTTGAAACTTACTTGCTGTAAAATTTTCCACTAACGTTTTTAGGATGGACATCCATTTTACCCCTGAAAAAGACCATGATGTCTCGATTGCCGGTCAACGGAGCCTTTTCGAGTGTCTTCCCTACGCTTTTCGGCGAGATATAAGGCGGTATAACAACATGTTCAACGTCCTGACAAGGGTGCTTATAATTAACCCCGAAAGTTTGCAATATTATCGAGTTCGTCAGGAACTCTGGAATCCCACTATGGATAGCTCTATCCTCCTACAAAAAAATAAATCAAATTTTAAGGATACCATTAGGGACTTGTTTTGAGAAACTAATTTTGCTTACCATTGCGTGGAAGCAGGCTCCATAATCATGGGAAGCAACAAAGACGTGGTCGGAACCACGGGAGCGATTCCAGAAAGGATAGTTTGTGGAGATAAGTTGGATAGCAGAGAACAAAAGAGAGCGAGCGTGGCCAATGTTGGGGAAACCGTTAACGGCACTGAAGTTGCAGGAGACATAAACAGGGACGAAAAAGAAATCAGCTTCAACAGGGTCGAATGTTCTAAAGTCGTAGGCGTTCAACAAGGCTCTATGAATGGCTACCTCCGAGGCAAACAAGTGTTTGCTGCATCTCTCGTTGGAAAGCCATTTTTCATTGTATTCTGGTGATAGCCCGTATATATATATCTTCAAGTCTTTGAACGTCGCTGCCAGAGAGAAAAATAAACCATGAATAACATGGATTTTCAAAAGAAAAAATATGGAAAAGCATGGTCAAAGAGAAAGGGATAGAAACCTGGGTTTTTGAGTTTGGATTGTTGACTAGTTTTGTTGAGAGGCTCATACAGGACAAGAGAAGCGAAGGAGAATTTGGAATCAAAGACATGGGTTTTTGACAAAGGTATTGGCTTGTTAGTAATGAAGAAAGAGGTGAGAAGATAGAGGGTAAAAGAAAACCAGAGAACCCATTGGTAATATTTGAAAAACAAGATTTTTTGGGGTTGTCTGCCTTTGTGTAATATCCTCATCTTAACATAGAATCCTCTGTTTTTCTTGGTGGGTTTTTGCCATTCTGAAGCCATCATCTCGTTTTAAATAATAAAAGCAACGCATCAGAAAACAGTAAACAGACGAACAGAAGAGTTTTTAACGGAGAAAGATTAAAGGTCAAAAACTAAAGCAGTTGAGATGGCGTTCTGAGTTTCTGGTATTGACGATGAATTGGAAACTAAGATTTAGTGATTAAAAGATAGATGGATATTGGTTGGTTCACACTTCACCCAGAAGTTTTGAACAAATTTCGTTGCCTGTCATAATAAATAAATAACAAAATCATTTGGGAAAAAATTAGACTAGGAAAACTATAAACTTTAACAAAAACAGAGAGAGAGAGAGAGATCTCACAGTGCTAACATACTCACATGGTGGTGAAGAAGAATTGAACTCGTTCTTGTCTCTGTTTCTATGCTCTATTTTTGGTCCCGTGAGGATTTTGATGTGTAGCATGTTAGGCAAGTTTTTTGTTAAAATAAAGATATAGTCCCGTTTAACCGATAAGCATTAATATTAATGATAATGATAAGAGACAACGAGTACTAGTATAAATGATTAGAATTTATGAATTTAAGTTTATAAAATAAAGTTCGAATTTTAACACCGCTATTTTTAGTAAACAATCAGTAAATTTTTATATAAATTTTAATTAGATTTTAAATTCTGACCATATACCGAAAAAAATTTACCAAAAAAATGGTAATGATAAGAAAACTAAACCTGTGGTTGTTTTGGTTTTAAAATTTTAATGAAATGTTACTTTGCTGATTTAGGAATGACCAGCTTTGTTTTTTTTATCAACGGTTGTGATCTTTTTGTTGCCATGGTTGCAGAGGGAATCCGTTGTGATATTTATTAGCTTCTTAAATATGGGAATAATGGCAGTTGTACATGTATCGGGAAGTCTCATGACAACTTAATATACGGTTAAGAAAATATGTTTTGATTTTGTTATTATTTTTTAATAAAATCGATAAAAAATTATCGAAAATATTATTATTTTTACCGATTTTTTATTATTGGGAACTTTACCAGGTTTGGTAATATATCCAATAGAAAAATAATATTTTAGGTAATGTTTTACCGGCTATATTATCAAGCTCGGTAAAGTGCTCAATAATAACAAAACCGGTAGAAATAAGAGTGTTTTAGATAATTATTTTACCGGTTTTATTAAAAAAATAACAAAACTGATAACATATTTCCTTAGTCGTATATTAAGATTATCGTACGCATGTCTTCTTTTTTAGAAGCCACCTCACAAATTTTGACTTTAGTTTGCATACTTCGCGACTTCATATTAAGAATTTTAAAGAATATATTTAATTAAGTTAAAGTTTTATATTTAACAACTCCTATTTACCTATGTTAGAAAAAAAATGGAGCAACCAAAGAAAAATGAGAGGTGGCAAGCCAAACGAAAAACATCAAAAAGGAAATGGACAAAAATGTAATTAACTTAACTAACTGGGTCATCAATTTTCAAGTATCTTACTATGATCATTTTCTTCTTATATTTATATATATTCAAAGAGGAAGGGAAAAGATTTCCATAAGCTTTAAACTTATTTATTTATCAAGTAAAATAGACAAATAGAAAGAAGAAGGGCATAGACATGTTAAAAATCTTACATGTATGTCTAATTTATGGTAATCTTTGTCTAACAAATACAAGTCGGTGCACTTAAAAGCAATGATTCAGACACAGATAACCCCTAGGACTACTCGATGAAGCTTGAATTACAAACCTCCAATCCAAAGCTTTCAAAATACTCGATATTTAAGCTTCATCTGTTGCAAATGAGAGTCTATAATTCGTGACATCTTACCTACTACACCGCATGAGGTCGTCTTTACCGGTTGTTAGTATAATGCTATATCATACCAAACTTTTTTGCGCATAAAATATAGCAGCATTCCAAATACCATTAACTTAGTTCAAATATTATTAATTTTCATAATTGCATAACTTACCTATGCTTTGACATTTATATTACAACTATTAAGAAGTGACGTTGGTTGGAACTGGTACTTTTCGATTCGATTAGAGATAAAAAAAAATTGAATAATATGTTTGTCTTTAAACAGTCTAGAAAGTTTGAGAAAGTGTGAATTAATAATGGTTATATTCTGCAGAATCTGTCCCTTGCCCGCCTGGTGCTTGTTTGTTTACTGCGTATCATTCTGCATGTGCTTTTGTTAGAGGAAGCTTTGTTTTTAAGGTATTACTAACCAACTTACCCTTTTGTTTCCCCAAAGAAATCGTATCATTTGTAAGAAGTGATCATGATAACCAAATGCTTCCTCCACAACAAGACTGATTTTCTGTTGATTTTAGGAGTTTCGTACACGGCAAGTAGGAAGGAGAGGCAAACTAAATGAGGACCCAGTTGTTAGGCTCGCTTGGCTATTATAGTAACGCATGGTTAACCATTAAGCTCTAATTATTGGACGAAATACAGAAAAAAACTGATCTCCTTCTAATACATTCTTAAAATATACAAAAACCCCAAAAAAATTTCATACGTTCTCAACTGAACCAAAGTTTATACCTATTATTTTTATTATACCATATCAAATATATAGTAGGTAATGCGTTTCAATTGTCTTGATCTCCGTTGGACATCTAACTTTAAAATTTCTACCCACAATTTGGTTTATATAAGTTTTGGTTAAAGGAGACGGTTGTGACTTGAATTTGACCGGAGCAGGTAAGTATTAGTTTGGTAATTAATTAATTGAGGGAGTGTCCAAAGCATGATCTTCCCTCAATCGAGTATTCTGGCACACGTGTGGATAACTCTAACTCAGGGGGACCGTGTGGATCATGTCGTCTCTTGTTGACAACGCAAAGCAATGGCCACCGTGCTCCCAAATTGCGTGCGGCGGCCGCCTTTCTTTAATTTGCATTTTTTTAATGGAGGAACTCACGCTTTCTTCTATTCTCACTTGTTCCTTTTTCTCTGATCACAATACACGTAAAATTTATATACACTCAAACTTGTATATATATTTTTATTGAAAATATATTTTACCTCTTAAAGTTTATAAATTTAAATATATTTTTTTAAAATTTTATAAATTTAAATGTATCGTATAATTTAAAATCCTATGTTCATCATTCCCTCGTAAAATTTGTGTAAAATAATAACCCTTACACCCACCACCCTCAATTAATTATTCCTTATTGATGAAGTTATGGTTAGGCGGTATATAAGTTTCATCTCATCAAGGTGTAATTATGGAGCTTTTGAGTTGGTGGACTTGATTTAAATTCTGGTAAAGAACTTTATGGATATATTTTAAGCAGGATAAAGGTGCTTAAAATAATTGCACTTTGTTAGGTATCTGATCAGCCTTTTGAAAGTATAAGATGAATTACTACTTAGCACCATTTTTTTTCTTTGGTTTTGATAAAATTATAGTAATTTTATCCATGATGATCATCTATATTCAAACAATAGACGAGTCAAGATATACAAGTGAATATGATCAGCACATCATCAAACAGTGAAATATAAAGAAAGAAAGAAGTAATATTTTAATCCCAAGCTTATGGTGGAGAATCGAGATTAGTGATTTGAGGGTGGAAAGAAGAGATAGAAGAAACGAGTGCAAAGCAGGGAATGGTCAATTTAAACTTGTTAAGTCAGTGATGATGATGACACCTTTTCTTAAGTAACTAGTGGTCTCATGAGTCACGACACTTCTAAAGCTCAAAGATACTTCGTACCAAGAATTATTCCTAAACGAAACTAGTACTACAATAAATTTGTAAATTTATGATAAATTTTTTATATGATATTACATATAACGTCACAAACATATTATAATATGATATTTTTTTCATATTTATAGATTACTGTTGACATAAACGGGTAAAGAAAACGAAAGAACACGAGAATTTTACGAGGTTCGGCAATGTGCTTACGTCCTCGGTGCCTAGGCGGCGCTAGAATTTTATTCAATCATATTTTAGGTCTAGGTTACATCTCTATTTATAATAGAAAACCCTGGTACATAATTACAAAATCAACCCTGTACCGTACCGCGGGGGCTACGCCCCCGCACCCCCAACCCACATAATTTGTAACCCCATAACGAGACTTTCTTTGTAAGGACAGTTGATGTTCACTTCGCTCACTCCGCTCCATCTCTTGCCCTCTTTACTGGTATATTTATGAGCCATACCTAACAAATCTCCACCTTGGCGAATATCCTGCCCCTTGGAAACTTCAATGTGGGTTGGGTTACCTTGCTTCTTTAACAACTCGAAACATTCAACAAGTCCAAGCAATACTTGAACTTGTCTGTCGTAACTGGCTTGGTGAACATATCAGCGGCATTCTCATCAGTATGTACCTTCTGAAACAAAACCTCTCCAGATGCAACCAACTCTCTGATCTTGTGGAACCTTACATCAATATGTTTAGTTCTAGCACGATACACCTGATTCTTAGCCAAGTGAATAGCACTTTGATTATCACAAAGCAACTGAACTCCACCTTGTTGAACACCCAACTCCTTCACTAAACCAGTAAGCCATAAAGCTTCTTTTGCAGCTTCAGTTGTAGATAGTGCCACGACAGATTGAACAGTAGACTTCCAGCAAATAGGCCCTCCACCAAGAGTAAACACATACCCTGTCGTAGATCTTCTATTATCCAAGTCACCTGCATAATCTGAATCCACATATCCTACAACCAAAGGATTATCCCACTGACTCCCAAAAACAATTCCATGTCCCACAGTACCCTTTAAGTACCGAAAGATCCACTTGACTGCATCCCAATGTTGCTTACCAGGTTTAGACATGTACTTACAAACTTGACTAACAGCATGAGCTAAATCAGGACGAGTACATACCATCGCATACATCAAGCAGCCAACAGCATTAGAATACGGAACCTTTGCCATATTTTCAGCTTCCTTATCTGCTTAGGGCACTGTTCTGATGAGAGCTTAAAGTGATTCGCCAATGGAGTGCTAACTGGTTTCGCGCTGCTCATCGCAACCTTTCTAGCATTTTCTCAACATAACCCCGTTGAGATAGCCGCAGTTTCCTTGAGTCTCTGTCCCTGCAAATTTCCATTCCAAGAATTTTCTTTGCAGCACCTAAATCTTTCATATCAAATTCCTGACTCGATAAAGTTTTCAAACCGATAACATCATCCATGTTCTTCGCAGCAATCAACATATCATCAACATAGTAATAGAAAAATAAAAGAACCATCATCAAGGCTCTTAACATAGACACAACAATCATACTCACATCGGTTGTAGCCAATCTTGATCATATAGGAGTCAAACCGTTTATACCACTGTCTCGGAGACTGTTTTAACCCGTACAAAGATTTCTTCAATCTGCAAACTAAATGCTCATTTCCAGGTTGAGTGAAACCTTCAGGTTGTCGCATGTAGATCTGCTCCTCTAAATCACCA